TCGTGACGAAGCACAAAAAACTCCCGCTCTCTCCAGTCAACCGTGAAATCCGCCTAAAAATGAAAATGGTGCCTGCTTTCGCTGTAAAATCTCGCAAATCCGGTTAGGGATGCGCATGCGTAGTAGAAAAACAATTATTTTTAATCAACTTGATTATGTAAAGCCAACATAAAATTATTGTGTTTAAACAAACTTCCACAGATTTATGTTCAACTGTCATAAGGTATTTATGTACAACACACCGACTTATGTTTTTTAATTAATCTCAATTCAATTTATATGGTTAATTTGAACAGACCTCAAATTTATTTTTTTGCCATTTTTATGCGTGTTCATTTTAACTAGTGTAACATTATCATAAATATATTAGTTTATTTCCATAGATAAAATGCTAATACAGTGGTACCTCAGTTCTCAAACTCATTAGAACTCGAATTTCTTAAAAGTTGAACCAAGCAGTTCGAAGAAAAATTACCTAGAACTTGATCTGAATCTGAGAAGTCGAACGTGAACGTCGACCTAAGATAACTTGTAAGCGCAGGGAAATGAGTCTCGCGGCACGTCTCTCCGCGGAAACAAAGGGTAACGCTTCAGTCTCAGCCTCACATTAGCTGTGATAGCATCGTGCAAGTTTACACTAGCCGAATACATATATTTAGAAAGTAAAAATACATTTAGACAATGATAGACAGTAAGAGTAATTATTATTATATAATAAAATACATTTTAAAATAAAGATGTCTTATTTATTATTTTAATATTAATAATAAACCATTAATACATTTAATTATAATAGTTAAACGGAACGGAGACAAAGGCGCAGACGTCAGGGTATCAGGGAATACGGGGTTTAATTACAGGTACGGCAGGGAAAATGCAGACCGGACTTGGGAAACTAACTGAAACGCGGACTAAATACATAGGAGTAATGACAACAACCAGAAACAGCTGATCACACAGGGATTCCACACCAGGTTAATAAGGGGGCGTGGCACACGGAAGGAGCAGACGATGGGGGCAGGACACATTGTTTTTTTTTTAACTTTACACATTGTTTGGATGCATTTATTTTCTTACTTTACAAATGACCGTTTTGATAAATGAGCTTAGATGTGTTTAATACAGTATATGCTCTTCTTGTTTTATCCTGTTAATTTTGTGTTTAAATGCTAAAAAAACATATTTATGTGTAATTTTTGGGGGGCTGGGAACCAATTAATTGGTTTTCCATTATTTCTTATGGGGAAAATTCGATCAGAACTCGAACTTTTTATGATTCAAACCTGAGTTCTGAACGGATTAAGTTCGAGTTCCGAGGTAACTTTTTTGTTCTTTTGTTGGTCTTCAGTTTTCACAGGTTTTGAGATGTGGTACATTATACAGATTTTATGTACACTGTGGAACAGTTTTTTTGTCAGCTAACTGAAACTTTTGTGTGTACAGTCAAAAATAATCTAAGTAGCAGTAACATTTGATGGCACAAGAAAAAAACTATGAAAGATTAAGATTAATGTGATCTTTATGTGTCTGTATGTCAGTACATGGTAGTTACTTAGACATACTGTCACGTTCGGGCTAGCGAGCTGGCGGTCAAGCAGGCAAGCGGAGCCGTGGATCAGGATAGACGAGGTTTATTCGACGAACAGGCAGGGAAACGGAGGCTGGACATCAAACGCAACATTACATCACAATGACAAATCTAGGGTACACTGACTGAGAATAGGACTAAATACATGAGACTAGGCAAACGTAACAGGCAACAGGTGAGATACATCAGGTTTCGACAGGAGGTAATGAGGGGGCGTGGCACACACGAGGAGCGTTCGGAGCGACGGACGAGACGAGGGGCAGGAACTGAAAAACAAAAGCAAGACATCAACGAGGAAGAGGGAACAAGACAGAAGCACAAAACAGGCATAGGAGCAAAACCCACGACAAAACCCCACACAAGACCGGAAACACGGACAGACAGACAGAGAAGGGAGACACGGAGAAAGCACCCACAGGCGCCACGAAGGGGCCAGGAGTGAGCGAGGGCGAGCCAGGGGGCAGGGCGGGCGGGACCTCGGCCCGACGTCTATGTCCCCTCCCCTTGCGGGACACAGATAGGCGGGGTCCTGGGGGATGTCGGCCTTGCCGGGGCAAGGGCGAGGGAGTCTCAAGGGAGGTCCATAGGGCAATCCCCGAGGGATCCCATTCAAGTCCTTCCTCCTCCCCAGAGGAAGGAGCGGCAGTCAAACAGTTTGGGACCTCCTCGGGGACAGTGATCAGGGCTGGGGGAATTAGAGGCAGGGCCTCAGGTGAGGTTGTCGGAGCCGCGGGTGTGGCCGCAGGCTGGACGGGCAGTTCAGAAGAGCAGGGCTGGACGGGCAGGACATGAGAGCAGGGCTGGACGGGCAGGACATGAGAGCAGGGCTGGATGGGCAGGACATGAGAGCCGGGCTGGACAGGAGAGACGGGCTGGACGGGAGAGCCAGGCTGGACGGAAGAGCCGGGCTGGACGAGCAGAGCGGAGACCTCAGGCGGTGCCGCGGGCAGAGCGAACGTGCGGCCATCAGGGGGTGCTGCAGGAGGAGCGGCGGCAGCAGGCCGCAGACGGAGCAGCTGCCTCAGGGTTTCTTCCACCTGGGCTAGCTGTTGGAGTGGGGAATCGGGCTGCCGTGGCAAACTCCCTGCGGAGTTGCTCCAGGAGCAGAGCTGCCTCCAGGGAGTCTTTTATGGCGGGTTCGCCAACTACCCGCCAGTACCGTTCCTGCAGGAGGTGAAACCTGCTGCCATCCTCCAGACAGGGCTGTGGCTCAGGAACCCTGTGGGATGCTGCAGCAGGCACCTTGGCCGTGTGGCCAGCAGGGGGCGCCTCGGCGGGCGCCACCTTCACGCAGCCAGCAGGGGGCGCCTCGGCGGGCACTTCGGACACATGGCCAGCAGGGGGCGCCGCGGCCAGCAGGGGGCGCCTCGGCGGGCGCCGCCGTCACGCGGCCAGCAGGGGGCGCCTCGGTGGGCACCTCGGGCGGTGTCGCAGGGACCGCCGGCAGAGCAGGCGGGTCAGGCAGGACAGGCGGGTCAGGCAGGACAGGCGTTGCCGCTGGCAAAGCGGCGGCAGCAGCAGGCGGTGCCGCGGGCAGAGAGGCGGCAGCAGCAGCAGGCGGTGCCGCGGGCAGAGCGGCGACAGCAGCAGAAGTAGGTGCTGTTTGCAGGTCTGGAGTCTGCGGGTCCGGATCCGGTGCGCCTGGAACTACCCCTTTAAGAGCTTTAGGGACCCGGGGAATTGCCGTTGGTACTCGGTCTGCCGCTTTGTGCTTTCTTGGAGATTTGTCATTCTGTCACGTTCAGGCTAGCGAGCTGGCGGTCAAGCAGGCAAGCGGAGCCGTGGATCAGGATAGACGGGGACGAGCAGAAGACCCAAAAGACGATAAACTGCGTTCCGGCCCACTTCAAGCACTGCCTGTAACACCATCCAGCTTCTCCAACTGGAGAACAAGCTCAGGACAATGTAGCTTGATGCCCCCACAATCTCCTTAATCATGCACTACCTAAGTAACAGATGGCAGTTTATGAAGGTCCGGGGGACTGTGTGTCAAAGATGGAGGCGAGCAACACTGAGACACCTCATGGAACCGTCCTCTCCCCTTTTCTATTTACCCTCTACTCATTGGACTTCCAGTACAACTCCAGCTGTTGCCATCTACCGAGGTTCTCTGACAACTCTTCCAATTGTAGGATATATCAGCAATGGAGATGAGTCAGAGTACAGTGGTGCAAGGAGAACATCCTGCAGCTCAACATCAGCAAGACAATTCATGGTGGTCTTCTGGAATACCAGCAAGCCCCTGAGACTAGTCACCATCCTGGGAAAGGAAGTGGAGGTGATGCAGGACTACAAGTACCTGGGGGGTACACCTGAACAGCAGACTGGACTGGGCAGACAACAGCGGCAGTGTACAAGAAAGGCCAGAACAGACTCTACTTTCTGAGGAGGCTCAGATCTTTTAACATGTGTGGCTAGCTGCTGCATATATTTTATCAGTACATAGTGGCCAGCATGCTTTTCTATGCTGTGGCCAGTTAAGGAAATGGGATCAGTTGAGGCACTGTCAAATGCATGAACAAATTCATTGAGAAGGCCAGCTCCATCACAGGCTGACCCTGTACCCACTGGAGGCAATAGCAGAGAGGAGGGTGTTAGCAAAATGGCAATATTATGAAACAATCCTGGAGCACATTTAACCACCAGCTCATTCCACCACAGTGTGCCAAAAAAAAAAAACTACTGGAGTCATTCCTGCCTGCTGCCATCAGACAGCACAATGCCTCCTCCCAACATGCCATTCCCCCTGGGATCAATAAAGTTAATCTTCCAGATCTGTACTGGATATACTAATATGCAGGCCCTGCTGTGTGGTGAGTTTCTAAGGTGTGGTTTTTCCAAGGCTGTATTTGTCACCTTTCGTCATATATTTTTTTGATCCTTTAACTTTCCCTCACATTCCCTTCATACTCTCAATTGTCGATGTAATTTTGTGCAAACTTGTCTGGCATCACATGGTCTATGTTGTTTTTTTAATCAAGTTAATATATTTTTTCTCTTATCTTTCCTGTCCTGCATACCTGCATTGCAATCTATTCTACACATTGCCTTATTTACCTATAAACTTTTAGAAAGGATGTATGGTGCTACTATCCTGTATGGAGTGTAAGTGTAACATGGTGTAAAACCAATAGGGACAGTCACACAGAGCCTTTGGCTTTTGTAGTACTATATTTTACAGAGCTCTAAAATTATTATCTAAAATGAACTTAAAACAATACCTCAGAAAGACTGCATTAGGGCTTGACCTATGAGTAGTTTTGGACAAAAGGATTTGCAAAATGAATATATGTAAATATAAATCAAGATGGGTTTGTTTGCTCGTATGTCCTCAATTTGATAATAGCCTTTCTACATTTCTGTGTTCCTGTATCTCAGCCTGATTATGTGTCTCTTGTCTGTTTGTGGATAGGACTCTCCCCTGAAAGCTGTGCAGATGTTGTGGGTTAACCTGATCATGGATACCTTTGCCTCCCTGGCCCTGGCCACAGAGCCGCCCACTGAGTCACTGCTCCTCAGAAAACCATATGGCCGCAACAAACCGCTCATCTCCCGAACCATGATGAAGAACATTCTGGGCCATGCAGTCTACCAGCTCACAGTTGTCTTTACCCTACTGTTTGCTGGTAAGCTGCAAGTGAAATTGTTCTTTACAAGTCAAGCTTTTCAACCAATCCTGCCTATAATACAGTGAGGTCCATTAGCTGTTGGGTGCACTCTTACTGAGATGCACAGGGCTTTGATGCCATATTAATTCACACACTTCCCATTAATGATTTTTCTATTCTAATTTATGCCATTCGTATGCTTTAATCGTACCCGCTGTGTTTCAAAGCCCCATCCCAATGATCAGTGCACGGGTATTTGCTGAAGGTGTGGTGCCTGGTCCTTGGCCACCTTTCCTGCAGGTGAGCGGTTGTTCGACATTGACAGCGGCAGGAGTGCCCCGCTGCATGCCCCCCCCTCCGAACACTACACCATAGTATTCAACACCTTTGTCATGATGCAGCTGTTCAATGAGATCAATGCTCGCAAGATCCATGGTGAGCACAACGTGTTTGCTGGCATCTTCAGCAATGCCATCTTCTGCTCCATCGTGCTGGGCACGTTCATCATCCAGGTAAGGACATGGGCATGCTATTTGTGATAGCTGTTATGCTTAGCTCTGGTGTGGCAGTGGGTGACACTGTCACCTTACACCATCAGGGCTAAAGGTTTTAACTCCATCTTGACTCTATCCGAGTGAAGGTTGCACATTCTTCTCATATTGAACATGTATTGTCTAGGTCCTCATGCAGGTAGGCTAACTGGCGTATCTAAATTGTCACACATGGACTAGCATTTAGCTTGGGGTATTCCCCTGTCTTGTGTAGTATGGTGTCTGGGATATGCTCTAAGCACTCCTAATCCTGCATAGGCTCAGGGAATGGAAAATGGATTGATGTATATATGGATGGAAACATGGTATTTATTCAGGCCTTACTGACTGAAATAAGGATTAAGGTATTCCCCACAAGTGGACACTAACTTTGCAGTTTTCCCGCCACAGATTGTGATCGTTCAGTTTGGAGGGAAGCCATTTAGCTGTGTAAGTCTCAGCTTTGACCAATGGCTGTGGTGCATCTTCCTGGGGGTGGGATGTCTGCTCTGGGGTCAGGTGAGTCCTTGGTACATGGCCTCTTGAGAGTATCATACCTTGTCTACTGCATCATATAAGAGTTTTGTCTTTTGCTGTGGGCAACTTTCACAAAAGACTAGAAGCAGTAAACCACCTAAGTACAATAAATGAATTTTTGTTCTAATGCAAGCAGCAAAGCATGAATTTTATGACATTTAAAAATCACAAATAAGTCTGATTTTTTTCCTCCTTGAATATTCAGTGCTCACAGAAAGTCTTGGGAGGCTGACTTAATTCTGTAAAAATGTTGCAAATTTATTGGTTTCATAAAAAAGTCCATTGGCAAGCAATGTTTAACATATCTGCACATATCATCCTCCACACAGAGGTTTTCTGTTTTTTTGTTAAGTGTCATAATTTTTTGATTGACTCATTCAGTTCTGTTCTTGCCATTTTGCTATAATTGCAGTTGGGGTCATTGGCATCCAAAGGGATACTAAACATAAATGTTTGGTGTTTTATGTTACTGTACAGGTGTTACTAGTTCAAAAACACTCAATTAGTTTGCTTGTCAATGAACTTTTTAAGTCAGAATAGCTCTTTTTTTCATAATTTGAGTTTCAATTTATTACTACTTGAAATTAATATTTTACTTTAAACTATTGTTTGTTTTAATGTCCATCCATCTATCCATCCATTTTCTGCTGCTTATCTGGGGTTGGGTCGTGGGGCCAGCAGTCTAAGCAGGGATGCCCAGACCTCCCTCCAAGTACCAAGAGTACCAAGGCATTCCCAGGTGCGCTGAGAGAGAAAATCTCCCCAGCGTTTCCTTGCCTCCTCCCGGCTGGACATGCCCGAAACACCTCCCCAGGGAGCCATCCAAGAAGCATCCTAGATAGATGCCCAAACCACCTCAACTGGCTTCTTTTGATGTGGAGGAGCAGCAGCTCTACTTTGAACCCCTCCCGAATGTCTGAGCTCTTCATCATCTTTAAGGCTGAGCCCAGCCACCCTGTGGAGGAAACTCATTTCAGCTGCTTGTATCTCCTTCTTTCGGTCACCCAGAGCTCAAGACCATAATTGAGGGTAGGGATGTAGATTGACTGATAAACGGCTCAACTCTCTCTTCACTATGACAGAACACTACAGCATCCACATTACTACCGACGCTGTACTGATCCATCTGTCAATGTCACGCTCCCTTCTTCCCTCACTCATGAACAAGACTTAAACTTAAAGTCATCCGCTTGTGACAGCAACTCATCCCCCACCAGAAGAAGGCAATCCACCCTGTTCCGGATGAGAACCATGACCTCAGACTTAGAGGTGCTGATCCTCATCCTGACCACCACATGCTCAGCTGCAAACTGTGCCAGTGCATTCTGCAGGTCATAGTCCGATGACTCCAGCAGGATTATATCATCTGCAAGACGTAATCCTGAGGCCCCCGACCTGGACCCCCACGCCTAGAAATTCTGTCCATAAAAGTTATGAACAGAATTGATGACAAAGGGCAGCTCTGATGAAGTCCAGCACCCACTGCGAAAGAGTCTATCTTACTGCTGGTAAGTCAAACCAAATTTTCGATCTGTTTGTACAGGGACCTAATGGCCCACAACATTGGACCCAATACTCCATACTACTGGAGCAACCCCCTCAGGACCCCCTGAGGGACACAGTCATATGCCTTTTCCAAGTCTACCAAAACACATGTAAACTATTTGGACAGACTCCCATGAACCCTTCAATATCCTTGTGAAGGGGAAGTGATGATCCAGGGTCACAACCAGGTCAGAATATGCAGTGTTCCTCCTGGATCTGAGGTTTGACCAATGGACGGACCCTCCTCTCCAGCATAGACCCTCTCAGGGAGGTTGAGGAATGTGAACACTCTAAAGTTGGAACACATCCACCGGTCCCCTTTCTTAAAAAGCTACCACTACCCCAGTCTGTCAGTCCAAAGGCACTGTCCCCGACGGCCATGCGATGTTGAAGAGGTGTGTTAGCTATGACAGCCCCACAACATCCAGAGCTTTGAAGAATTCTGGGTGAATCTCTGCTATCTGAGCCTTCCAGCTCTACTTCCTCCAAGGAAATTATATGGGTGGGATCTTCAAAATATTCTTTCCACCGCCTGAGTATATCCCAAGATAAGGTCAACAGTTCTTCATCCCTACTGTAAATGGCATTGGTGAAGCCCTGCTTTTCCCTCCTGAGTTACCTGACAGTTTGCCAGAGCCGCTTCCCACTTAACCTGCTGGTACCGGTCAGCTGCTTCATGAGTCCCACAAGCTAACTAAGCCCTGAAAGCCTCCTTCTTCAATCTGACAGCTCCCTTTACCACTAGTGTTCCATCACCGGGTTCGGGGATTACCACCGTGACTGGCACCAACAACCTTACTGCCACAGCTCTGCACTGCCGCCTCAGCAATGGAATCCCCAAACATGGTCCATTCAGGATCAAGGTCCCCTGACTCCCTCAGGAAGTTTTGCCAGAGGTGTGAATTGAAGATCTCACAGACATGACTCTCTCCCAGCACACCCTCACTATGTGTTTGGGTCTACCAGGTCTATCTGGCATCTTCTCCCACCATCGGATCCAACTCACTACCAGGTGGTGATCAGCTGACAGCTCAGCTCCTCTCTTCCCCTGAGTGTCCAAAACATGCAGACACAGATCCAACAATACGATTATAAAATCGATCATCAAGCTGCTACCTAGGGTGCTCTGATGTCAGATGCACTTATGAACACCCTTATGTTCGAACATGGTGCTCTTTCTGGACAAACTGCACAGAAGTCCAATAACTGATCTCCGCTCGGATTACAATCAGGTAGGCCATTCCTTCCAATCATACCCTTCCAGGTTTTACTGGCATTACCCACATGAGTATTAAAGTCCCCCCGCAAAATAATTGAGTGCCCAGAAGGAGCGCCTTCCAGCATCCCCTCCAAGAAGGCCAGATACTCCGAACTGGTGTTTGGCATGTACACACAGACAATAGTCAGAGCCCATCCCCCGACTTGAAGTGAAAGGGAGGTGACCCTCTCGTCTACCAGGGTGAACTCTAATGCACTGGCATTGAACTGGGGGGCTATAAGTAGACCCACCGCTGCCTGGCAGCTCTCTCCGAGGGCAACCCCAGAGTAGAATAGAGTCCAGCCCCTCTCCAGGAGTTTGGTTCCAGAATCCAAGCTATACGTTGAGGTGAGCCCGACTATATCTAGTCGGTATCTCTCTACCTCCTGCATGATGATTGGATGGTCGAGGCCCCTGCCTTCAACTGCCAACCGATGTACATTGCACCTGAGCCCCACGGTTCCCTCTGCAGGTGGTGGGCCCACAGGAGAGCGAACCAATGTTATTTCTTCGGGCTATGCCCAGCCAGGCCAGGTGCTTGCCCTTGAGCTCCTGCCCCATGCCTGGGTCCAGGGAGAGGTCACTCCAATCCGGGCGTGGTAACATGGTCCTTTATCGTAATCGTCAATGGAGTCTCTTTGAATCGCACTTTGTCTGACCCCTCACTTAATACCAGTTTGCCTTGGGAGATATTACCAGGGACAATTGCTCCCAACAACATAGCTCCTACACAATGGCGAGGTAGGAGGCGGTAATGCTGTGAGATCTCGCGAGAGCTGTGCGTAATCCAACATGGCAGCGTCCTACTAAAAAAAAACAAACAAAACTTACTTCGATAGCCAACTTAACCAAGCCAAAATATTAATAATAGTATTTATAGTACTTTATCGGATAAATAAGTTCACTCATTTACATCCTGGTTGAAGAAACCTTGGAAGATTTACAGGATTACGTGGACGAGTGTTACGAACGACTCATCATGAAGAAGAACCAAGTGACTCCGTCCACGAAGAGAACCCGCTCGGACTGTACTTCAAACAGCCCCTCAAGCAGCCCTTCATCGCCGGATAAGGAATACGGAGATATCCTAGAGTCCATGAATAACAAACTTTCCAGTTTTGACGCCCGACTGGCACTTGTAGAAATCCTACACAAGGAATTTCAAGCATTATGGGAATCTCTGGAGTACAGTCAACAACAGGTTGAATCGCTCGCATCTGAAAACAAGATTCTCAGAGACTCCGTAACATCCCTCACGGAAGGTATGGCGGAACTCTCCACAGAAAATAAGCGCATGAAAGAGTCCCTGCTTGATATTCAAGCAAGAAGTATGCGGGACAATTTAGTGTTCGCCGGAATTCCGGAGCGTGCAGAGGAAGACGCAGAAGCTACCATCAGAAACTTCATGCAACAAGAACTTAAACTTCCCCGGGACACCGTCAACAACATCACGTTTCATCGGGTCCACCGCATAGGAGGGGTGAGGAAAGAAGCTCAGCGTCCAAGACCTATCGTGGCCAAGTTTGAACATTTCAAACAAAAGGAGCTGGTGAAAAGCCGAGGCAGGGAGCTCAGAGGAACGGACTTCAGCGTCAATGACCAATTTCCCAAAGAAATCCTGGATCGTCGCAGAATCCTGTTCCAGCTCAGGAAAAAATTCATTGCGGAGGGAGCCCGAGCTATCATCGCAGTAGACAGACTGTATGTTAATGGACATCTATTTCGCGACCAGAACACCACTGCTTGGCTCTACTGAAACCACTTCCGACTAAGGTAACACGCATTTAACAAACTAACTTTAAAGTTTGGCAGTTAATACAGGTTTTTAGCGCACGCCGCACACTAGACGGCTTTGTCTAAGGACTATTAAGGCTGGGTCACTTTATATCCCTTACTTTATATCCCCCTTGTTTAATGTCTCACTACAGTCGCAGTTGTTGTTGGTGTTGTTGTTGTTGTTATTGTTATAGCCATCATTGTCACTTTGGTTGTTATGGTAATTGTTGCATATCGATATTGACGCTCAAAAATGTTTTATCTGGAAGCAGTCTACTAGATACTATACACCCACACCTACACGTAGGTAGTCACACACTCGCATGCATACACGCACCCCCTCATCTTAACATCACACATGTATGCATTCATACACTCACATATACACATGCCCACTCAAGCT